AGCAGTAGCCCAGCTCTTGTCAGCAGTGTGGATGAGAGATGAGCAGGTTACTAGGCATGGTAGGGTAAAACTCGAGCTGTCACCAGAGTAAGTTCTTGGAGAGTGTGTGGGGTTGGGATCAGAGCTTGATCTTTGTGGGGGCAGGAAGGAGGTGGTGCAAGAAAACTGCTAAATAATGGGGTGAGAAATGCTAGAAGTTGGAAGCAAGCGTAACCCTGCAATGTATGCATCCTCACTTCTCAGAGTTGCTCTGCTCAAGCACTTCAGAAATACTAATGATTTAGTGATAGCATGTCCAGAGAAGAGCAGCAAAGGTGGTGAAGGGTCTAGAGCACAAGTGATAGGAGGAGCAGCTGAGAGAGCTGGGGTCATTTAGCCTGGAGAAAAGGAGGCTCAGGGGAGATCTGTCACTCTACAACTACCTGAGAGGAGGTTGTAGCGAGGTAGATATTGGTCTCTTGTCCCTAATAACAAATGATAGGACAAGAGGAAACAGCCTCAAGTTGTGCCAGGGAAGGTTTAGAGTGGATATTAGGGAAAACTTCATCAAACAGGTTATCAAGCACTGGAACAGGCTGCCCAGGGATGTGGTTGAGTTGCCATCACTGAAGGTATTTAAAAGATATGTAGATGTTGTGCTTAGGGACTTGGCAGGGTTGGGTTAACAGTTGTACTTGATCTTAAAGGCCTTTTCCAACCTAAATGATTCTATGCAAATGGATGGGAGGAGTCATCTGATGTTCACAGTAGCTGTAACTGAGCTCAGAGCTTCTCTTAGACCAGTGATTAAAAAAAAAAAAAGCAGCTAATTGTGGGTTTGTAAGTCTACTTCTAGAGGTATATAGAAGTTGCATTTGTGGAACTAGAGGCATAGAAATGAAGTGACTAATCAAAAGTAAATGTTTTCAGCAACATAACCAGTGCCATATGCACAGGGGACCTCCTGAGCTCCTTGGCTGCTGCTCTGAGAGTGCAGCAGAGAAAGAGCAACGCATGACTGGAGTCTCTGAAGCTCTGTGCACGCAGTGTGGCTCGTTAGCTGAGCCACACAAACATTAATTCCCCTGTGGGCAGACATAATAATAGGGTTATGCAAAACCATTGTGTGTGTCTGTGTACGTTAATATCTACATCTGATTTGTGAACACAAGTCTTTCTGGGGTGCCTGTATGCTAATAATGCAAACTGGTGGTTAATGATAAATGGGTTACTATAGGACTTTATATTGTGTCTTATGTTTGTTGTTGCTTCAGTTGCCTCTAATCCATTTTCCTCCTTTAACTGCTCCTAATTCTTGAGTTACTTTAAAATTGCTAATTTTGAAGGCAACTGGATGCAGGACCACTTCATTCTTGCCGGATGGGAGCCATCTTGCCCAAAACTCACCCCTAAACGCACTCTGAGCCTCTGCAAGTATTAATTTGAGACCTCCAAAGAGAAATGGGAGGCTTAAGCAGGAGGATGCTGACACAAGGTGAATTTCCAACTTCCATCCAGAAGTGTTTGCTACTGCTTTTGTGAAGTAGAAAGATTTCAGCTGTCAATGCAGAAGCATTTTCAGATTTAAGAAACTTAAATTTAGATTTTTATAAATTATTTTTATAGGAAATCCTTCCAGTCTCATGCCTGATGGCCTCCGAGTCCTGTATTGCTCATGTAGTTTGAAACATTGATAGTTTTAACATTGATAGTCATTACCTAGTTCTGGTTGGAATCATGGAAGCTGAAGTGCTTGCTCTTATAACAGGGGGAACCTATAATAATCTAAGATTTAAAATTAAAGTGTCTGTTAAAATTTAGCAATATTTTCTAGCATATATAGTGTATTTGAGAGTTTACTCTTCCAACAGTTTTAGTGAATGTGTGATACTCCTCATTAAAAATTTTGGTAATGCCATGGATAAAGTACTTGTGAACTGTGTGTGTATATATATATATATATCTATATATATATCTCATTACAGTTATCAGTTTAAAAACATATACAGTTTTGGACAGATGGGAATATGTTGAAGCAATGCAAGGTTTACAATTTAGTAACAGTATTTTCCTTCTAGTATTAATTTAAAACAAAACATGCAGAAATGGTACAACTTAGACCATGCAATCATTTCCCCAGTATCTTACAGAGTGCAGAGAAGAGATTCCTTTAGTGCATACTGTATTGGTTCAAAAGGTTTTGCCCTGATCATAGGATGCTGGTCATGCAGGACGGGCTGCAGTGAAGGCTGCAGGGGCAAAGCTTCATTTTGGCGCTTCTTAACTCTTGAAAGCGTAACTTCAGATTTCTTCTGAGTCTAGTTTCTGTGTTTTGTCACTACTGCTCCCATGGATGGTGTGCCCCTCTGGTAAGGAGAGCATCATGTGGAAAGAAACTAGTGTTAGTCTGAGCCTCAGGGAGGAATTGTAAAATGTCTTTAAAAAAATCTGTATGTTTTATTTTCTGTATGCTAAAACCATGGGCTCAGTAGAGAAAACTGGCTTCGGGACCAATAGGTGTTTCCTGTTAATTTGCCCAGTTACACATGCTCTGATGATCCTCTGTCTTTCATGAGAGGGGTGGTGTCACCCTCTTACCTTGTTGGTGCTCCTCATCGTCACTAGTCTACCCTTTAGGTGGTCTTAAATGAATTGCTATAATGAGGCTAAGAGCAAGCATGCCTAGTCTCAGTTTAAGTTAAACGCTGCTGCTTACTGTTCTCCGTAAAGGGGACCGAACCTTGAAGCCTGCCTGGTTTTGGCTTCCCCGCTCCCCTAACCGTGCTACCGCTGTGTTTTTTGGGGGAAAGCTGCCAGGAGGATGGCTGTTGAGCCGGTTGTAGCCGCCAGATGGCAATGTCCCCTCGGCGCTGCCGGCTCCGGCCCCGCCGCTGTCGCACGGTCCCGCCGGAGGGGCGCGGGTCGTAGCTCGTTTCTGTGGCAGAATGCTTGGGGAGTTCTGTGCGTCTCTTGCTTATACTGCTGAAACTGTTAAATTGTGTTTGCTGGATGATGCGGTTGTTTCCAGCAATGCTTTGTAGAGGGCACTTAGTGGTGCTCAGAGTGCATTTAGAAGGGGGTTTTGGACAAGATGGCTCCTATGTGGCAAGAATGAAGAAGTGTTTCTGCACCCAACTGCATTCAAAATTAGCAATTAAAGTGACTGCAAAATTAGGAGCAGTTAAAGGAGGAAAATGGATTAGAGGACACTGAAGCAGCTACAAACATGTACAATGTAAAGTCATATAGTAACCCAGTCCACTGTTAACCACTGGTTTGTATATTAGCAGCTAAAGCTGATGTCTGTGTATTGTTCTGATATACTGTCATATATACAGACATATAAATATATGAAATTTTTTATATCTTTGGGGACCTTCAGACTACTGTTTGATGCTAAAAGTGATCCAGCAGTTGGGCACTTAGACACAAGCATTATGAATTTCTTTGATCTAGCAAGCATCTGTTCTCTGGATGAAAGTACGTAGTAGGTCTGATCCTGGGCTGCTTCTGTGGGTGGAATTGCAGCATTCAACAGAGTTAATCTAGGAGATTGAATGCCTGATGACTTCAAGTGTAAACTTTTTTCCCCAACTTTTAAAATTCCCTTATTTGAAGACATCACTGTCCTGTGCTGCTTGCTCTCTTGTTTTGTTTTTTTTTTTTGAATAAGCTGTCTTAGAAATGACAGCAGATAAGGATTGATGTGGTTCCCCTGGGAAAAGGATGTTGGGAATCTTGTCTGCCTGCTTTGAGGTGGCAATCACAAGCAGTTCCCATTAACTGGAAGTCATGTAGGAATTAACTGCTGTCCTCAGGGCTTGGTAGCACCGTAGAATCCATCTGATGGACTGGTCCCATGCCCTGGAGTGGCCTTGTGAAGAAGGAGAGGGTGGGGAGAAGCAGCCTGATAAATAATTGCTTGGGTCAACAGCACTGTTTTCTTAGCTATTGAAGGAATCCTCACAGTCATCTTTGGTTTTGCCTGATTCAGCAGTGGAGTGGAAATTTGTTTCTCCATTTTCTTATTACTTATTGATGGCAGCAAATAGAAATTTAAAAAATCAACAGTGATTGCACTAGAGGAGAGGACTAGAAAGAAAAAAATCTTGGCCAATACTTGTAGTAAAAGAGAAAATTATGGAAAATTAATGAAACTATAAAATTTAGAATGAGTGGTGCTGGTTTTTATTACCTAGCCTTCCCTGTTGTGTCAGAAGTGAGTAAATTATACCATGTAGACTCTAGGCCTGAATTAATCCATAACCACTGCTTTGTGTGGAAGGGAGGCCATTTCTTCGCAGGTTGTAATTTAGGGCATGCTTCCCGAAAACCGAGCTCATCTTTCAGGGATCTCCTGAGTCATTTCTGAAAACTCAGAAATGGGTCAGCTCCAAAGCTTGTGGTAGTGGAAGTCTCACTAACTGCATTTCACCCCTCCTTTCAGTGTACAGGTGAGGCAGAGTGAAACTGCACAGCACTGAGGAAAGATGCTTTTGTTATCCTGTGGCTTGCTTTCCCTTCTTGGTTCCTTTCAGGTTTTTCTTCCTTTTTAAGAAAAGTGTCCTTTCTAATCCCCCCTGCTCCGTTCCCCTGGCTGTAGCCCTTAAGACAAGTGAGCTGCAATAGCAGAGCAGTAATGCTGGTTTCTTTGCTTACATCTCATTTATGAAAAATATTTGGTTTCTGTTGAGCCACACCCTTTGTCCTGACACAGCTGCTCTGACCGTACTCTTCTTGCAAGCCAACACCATCATTACTCACTGGACACTTGCAGCCCCCATTTTATTCAGAGAACCCAAAGATGTTCTGTGAAAGCCGTCATCCAGCTGTATCCATCAGAGCTGTTTCTAGTGGTGTGTTTTCTTGTGTATATAGCAAGAAATGAGCTTTGCTGTGCACAGATTACTCAACAGAGGGATTTTTGATTATCGCTTTCCAAGACATCCATCTTTTTTTTTTATAGGCAGAAAGTCAACAGAACAGAAATCCACTGTGTATAGGAGGCAAAAAATCCTTACTTTTTCAGTTAGGCTTTTTTATTTCAATCAATAGTTCACCAAGTGCTTAAACTTCCCAGGCAGTTTAATCTGGAACATAGATGAGAAGAAAAATATCTTCTGTAACTTTACAAAAATAAAAAGTTTTTTTTTTTTTAAAAAAAAATCCTGCACTTTAAGCAAGCACACTCCAACTCAAGCAAGACAGACGTTATATCTTAAAATACAGACTTCTCTTTGTAGAAATGACATTTACCCTTGGGCAGCAGGCACAGTATGTAAACGGTATAGAAATAGAGCAAGAACACTTGTTTTGATTTTTCTGATCCCTTTTGGCCTATTTCTTAAGTAGAACCGGTTAAAACAATTTGCCCAAGAACTACTGCAGGTTACCATTTTTTCTGTCAAGTGGCTTCTTGAGTAGGATATTACTGAGGGAAAAACCTTCCCCTGTCCTGGCCACGCTGGTAGTTATTGAAGGTACCAACATTAATTGTTTCATTTTTCTAAAGCTCCTGCATTTTGGTATGGACAGATCACTCAGTTTGTAGGTCTTCCACTGCTAAACCATTTGAGGTTTAACTTCTTTAGCAGCCGGGGCTGCCAGCGCATGAGGTCAGGTTGGAGAAATAAAATGAATGGAATATATTGTATCACAAATGTATGCAGTGCTGTGCTGCAGTTAATTTAGTGTGTGGTGAAACCAAAAGATCAAGGAAGCTTAACTCCTAGTTCTATGCCTGTAATGGAGGAGAAGCCTTGCAGAGAACATGGACTGGCAAATAAACTATGCACTCTCAAGACTTAAATCTTTTCCAACTTGACTTGTATTGGCTAATAGAAAAATAAAGAAAAAAAAATTAGGCACATGGAGGGAACCTGGTGCAGCATATGCTAAGAACCCAGATCAACTGGGTTGATCAGCATTTCTGGTCAACACTATAAACTAACTAGAGGAGTCCTCAGTCAGATTTTTTGTAATGCATTATGAAGGCCTTTTTCAAATACTTCCTTTTTAACTATCTCTAGAAGCCGGGGGGGGGGAAGCAGTTCTTGTCCAGTTTGTACATTGAGTTATGTTTGCATTTAGTGTAACTTTGTGAGTCAAAACAGCTGAGCCATGAATGTGCTTTATAGAGGTAAGAACTAGGCAGGTCCTTCTCTTGAAACTGTTGCCATACCCATCCTCAGGAATAAAAACTGATGTGAATTCACTCATGCCACTAGGGCTCAAACAGAAGTTAGAAACGAAGCTATTAACTTGGTTGGAGATACGCTGGTCTCAGTCTACCGAATACAAAACTCAAGTTTAGCTAGAGAAAACCAAACTCCATCCTGGTTTCTAGTGTCTCTTTCAGAGGCATTGTGTCTCCTCCTTGACCCTTTAGTTAAAACTCTGCTCCTAATGCTTCCCTACCAGCAACTGATCCAGAACTGACTCTTCAAGTAGGCTTGACTGTGTGGAGCAGAAAACCATCAAGAAATGCTGACCAGAGCAGCTGTTGTTCGTAAGGCTTGATCATCATGGTGGGTTGGCTTTCAGCTCCTTCCAGCAGGCTGAAGGAGGATCTGATATCAGATGGATGGATAAACACTTTGGTGATTACTGAGCCGTTCTAAGCTCTGTTCCTGACTTAATGAGTTTTCTGTGATTCTTCATCTGTCTTGAGGGAAAAATGAGGAAGATGTGATCTGACCTGGCAGTGAGCCTATGATACTGTTCCTCCTGCTGTCTCAAAACCAGGTGAAGCAATTTTGTTGCAACTCTGATAAAATTAACATCCGAGGCTAATACCAGCTTGGAAAAACTGTTAAGAAGGCATGGACTTTGAAGAGGTAGGGAGCCTGAACATAGGCATTTGCTGCTTGAATGGCTTTTTCCCTGCTGCTTTTGCTACCAAGGTCCCTGCTGTCACTGTATTTTCAAATCATGTTTTTGCTATAGCACACAGTATGGAGGCTCACTTATGTAAAGCTGAAAGACCTCCATCCAAGATACAGTTTTCCTGTGATGCTGGAAATAACATGTTAAAGTTTTTTTTTTCTCACATAGTACTGGACTGGGCAGCTAGAAGCTGCTGATACTGATGAAGATATGCTATGACTTTACTCATTTGTTTTTTATTCAGGTTTCTGTTCCTCCTGTGAGCCAAAACACATGCATATATCAGTGAAAGCCACAGCCCAAATGTCACAAGGTTAAGCCATGCCCTCAGCTCGCTTCCCACTAAAGCAGGGGAGCATGGTTCATCAATGTACCTCCTTGCTCGCCTTAAATATCTCCTCTGCTGCCTCCAGCGTCTGCTCTGCTTCACGTCAGTGCACCCAAGGATGTATTTGCCACGGGGAGAAACCTAAGGGCTTCCAGGGCATGCTCTTGTTGAATAATGCTCTCTGAGGGCTGTGCCTATCCACTGTCCCAGCAGTGTCTCCTCCAGCCAATGCTGATTTAAGCTCCATGAAACATGGTATTTTTTGGGACAGTCCAGCAAGGATAAAAGGGAAGATGTGGCTGCATTTGTGCAACTCTTGCTTCTCCCTCTGGTAAGACAGGGCTAGTCTCCCTCCATCAGATGGATGGAGGTCTGTTTCCAGCTGCTGTCTTGCTCTGCTAGGGGCCACGGTGTGCTTGCTGCTGAATTCCTCTGCTTGTTCCTACTAAAAATACGCTGCTAAATAGGGCTGAGAACATGTTAGACCCTACTTGCTTCTTTACTTTGTCCACCTGTCTGACGAAAAATCCAAGGCACAAATCTTGCATGCCGAGTATGTAAGGCCTCAGGAATATGAAAACAGAAGTCGTCCCTGCAGCCTTGTATCGGCAGCTTACCTGCAGGGTGTGCATCTGACAGAAAACATGCTGCTTCTCTTTGGCTTTAAGGGGGCTTGGTTGTAAATACTCACTAGGTACAAAGGGAGACCTCAAAGTAATTACATAGCTAAGGACGTGGAAGGAGAAAATATTAAACAACTAGTTATTTTTACAACTTAATAATTGTAAAAATAGCTTAAATTACTTGGGATATTTTTTTTAATTTAGCACTATCTGAATGGAGGGTTGTTGATTTGCTGTTTCTTTTCGTGTTATGAGCTGTGAGATAATGACAAGATAAATCTTTGTGGGTTTCCTCCTTATATACATATCTACATCAGAGCTGTGAAGTCAGAGGGGGAAGTCACTATCACAGTACTAGCATGACACCAAGCCCTTCCCTAGAGCTAAATTCTGATGAGAAACTGGATGTTGGGGAGAAGAGTACCACAATGGTAAGATGGCAGAAACAACTGAAGCAGTATCATAACGTTCACCCCAGTATTTAAAAAATAATAATAAAAGGAGACCCCCTCCCTCCCCCCAAAAGTCTGCAGTCCTAAAGTGCAATTACTTTTGTGCAGTCATGTCAGGCCAGGGATCAGACTGGATGAAGTTCAAAGCACAAACATCAAACGAGTGCTGTTTGGGATTCGAGGAGGAGGGGGAAATAAGGAAAAGAACAACAGTTCTCAGGCATTCAAGTGCATCAAGAAAATAAATGTCCCTTTCTTTCAAAAGAAAAACAACCCCCAGTCGGGTGGAATCCTGGCTTTGTAGTCATGAAAAATAAGGGTTTTTTTCACTTCTAGCTGAGAATGTCCCAATATGACACAGTACAAATAAACAACACCAAAGCAAAAGCTGGGGTGCTGGGATGTTTTTCCGGTGCCCTGTTGCTATACAGCCTTATTTTATTCTCCTCTGGTGACTCTTCAGATCTGGGTACTGATGAAGCACACTGAATTAAAGGCATCTGGTAGGAAGTGGCTCTCTTCTCTGGTCGGTCAGGGCTGGACCCATCGCTTGGTCTCTGGCCATTGTACAGCAAGTATCTGCCCTGGGCATCCTGCTCCATTTTGAAGATTTCATACTCGGTGTGAGGTAGCCGGATGCCAAGCGCAATGCAGCCATTCGTGTGGGTGACATCTTGCTGAACCCCAACTTGCCAGGACCCCTGTGCTCCACACTCATTCCCATTGAAGACATTGAGCAGAGAGGCTGTGGATATATCCATAGGAGTGACCTTCATGTGATTTACTGTAAGAGAGAGAAAGAGGAGCTATCAGCAGAGGGACAAAAACAAAGGCAAAGACAACATGCGGATTGGGGATGTACCTGTCAAATCAGAATTGTCACTGCTTGTTCATTTTTTAATCAATTTTTCATATTGTGGGTGTGGCCAGTGAATTTATTTGCATCATTTTGCATCTTTAATGTAATTGCTTCTTGCACAGAACACACACACAAACACAAACTCAGCTGAAGAAAACCTGACGGCCACATATCTCAGCCAGAGACTAGGCAGAGCTTTTCATAAATTCCAGACAATCCTTTACAGATAAAGCCTGTTTGGTTATATTAGGAGATAGGTAAAAGAGGAAACAGTAAAACTTTACTCACGTTTTATTACCATCTGTATTAATCTGTAAGTAGGGCTGTTTATAATACATTTTTCATCATTTTTAAATATCTGTTACCCTGTAAAGCTAACGAAATAATTAAGTCCAGTTGGAAAATTTGGAAAGCGGCACAGCTGTGCTACATTCCTGTACTACCTGTCCTTTTTTGCATGAATTATAAAGTATTGCTGAACTACAGAGAGATGTTTTCTCATATCTAAACAGTGGCTGCAGCTTGCAGTATCAAATGTAGAAGTGCTGCAGCTTCTGCAGTTCTAACCTGCCTGTATTTTAAAGGAGCTTAAGGCATGGAAAGTTTTATTTTTCTACCAAGTTTTTTAAAAGTTGGGAAAATCCAAACTGAGCCTAGGGAAGCTGAACACAGATTTTTCCTGGCATGTGTTTGATACTTTATATCAAGAAAAGGGGATCTGAATGGATTGGTGCTGACCAAAACAGAAACAAATGACCATCCCTCATGCCTCCCAACACACCAAAATCCCAAATTCTCTTGCAGGTAAGATTTGTTGAGGACTTTTATTCTGAGGTTTTATAAACAGGTATTCGACTCAATGACTCTACAGTTCACATTCTCTGTCCTAGCTGGTGTGAAAGCTCATCTACAGAAAGTGAACCTAAAAGTTTTAACAAAACCAAATTAGTGACCTTGATCTGTGAGGTAAGTTAGCATACGATAAACCAGAAATTCAAATGAAAATTGGATTGCACCCCAGGAGCTGAGCTGGGACATGGTGCATGCAGCTGTAAACAGCTGTGATGGGCATGGGTATCTCCTGGCTCCTATGAAAGTCCCAGATTAGTAAATTATTTTTTATAGTTAGATGCTTTCCTAAATTGGAGCCATGCAAGAAGCATTATGCTTCTCACATGGTAACTGAAATAAGGAGAAGAGCCCACAGAGTGCTTGGGGCTTCCAGAGGCTCCGCTGGGGCTGGCGCCACAGTGGGATGTTGTGTTTTGGAGATGTTTGTTTGTGTGAGTGGTTAAAGCCACTGAGCTCTTTTTAAGCAGGGTGCTACAGGGCTATTTGCACAGGAAAGCTTCTGAGCCGCAGGAACCTGGGTGGCGTCACCACTGAGTGCTGTTTCCCAAAGTACTCAGGAGGTTTTGGTTAGATACATCTAGTCTTCACTGTGGTGGGATTAATCAGAGCAGTCTTTAGGGACATCCTTACTTTCTCTAGGGCCACTTGGAAGCTGATGCAAAGACACGTGCTGCTACATTTATCTTTGGCAAAAAAATATTCATATTACTTCAGACCTTGAAATGCCTTCTAAAGGTGCTTTTTTCTCTGTACTGAAGGAGCCCGCGGACATAGATCTAATCTTAGACACTTTGCTTTAGATGCTTCAAGTCTGGCCACTGTACACCAAGACTTAGTGATGTCAACTCTTATTTTCTTGTGCTGTACTTCAAGATCTCTGCCCTCAAAAGAGTATTGCTTCGGTGGTGTGAAATGCCACGTAGCTGTATTGGCTGGGCACTCGCACAAAGCCTGTGAACTTGCCTAAGAACGACTAACTCCTGCAAATGACAGAATGAAATCATCAGCATCCAAATTGTTAGGAGTGAACTCTGCTCTGATCCATAACTATGCAACCACCTCTGCCCCCAGTGTAGCAAGCCACTCTACCTTTGAAAACAAACTCCGTGCCACCCATCACTTTTGATGAGTGCACTCCCCGGCTGTAGCGTCCCTTGGCATAGATGGTGAAGGTAGGGTGCTTGCAGATGGGGTCAGAGTAGTGGTAGTAGTGACCTTCCCAGGTATTATTGTTGTCATGGAAGATGAAGTGCCGAGTGAGGAAGAGGACCTCTGGTCGCACCTCGCAGCGCTGGCTCACCCACTCTCCGTGTAGCCCTATGGTCAGATCTGCCTTGGGGGGTAAGATGGGAGGATGGTGCTCGTCTGACCGGTAGATGATTCTGCAGGCGATGCATGTGCGGTCGTGGTTCTGAAATGAAGCAGAGAGAAACCCTTGTCAGGCATTATACAGAGCAATGAATCAGGCCGTCTGTTTCATGCTGACGTGACACCAGCTCCACATTTTAAGGAATATGTTGTCATTTTTTATCTTCGTGTGCTGCAGGTTCTCACCATTCAAAACACCTGAAAGATGCGCCATTTGGTTTTGTATGTATAAGGCTGCACAGCAGGAGAGCAGTTAAGAGATTAATTCCCTCATCCACATTTATCTGAAATTAACATTTTAGTTCAGCTTTTTATAGGATCTAGAAAAAGGTGACTTTATCCTTCAAATTATAGAAGTAGCTGGCAGATGGTAATTTACTATGGTAGGGAATTTCGTGCTGACATCACTTGACACCTCCTGACATCAGAAAATAAAACTACAGAGACTTGTACATTGTTCCTAAGGCTGTTTCTGCCTCTGCAAGGTTTTGTCTTGTTGGCAAAAAGAGTTTGGATGAGCTATTCTCTTTTCAAACTGTATTTTGCACTTTTTCAATTGCAAGAGAGACAGCAGCATTAGCATTTGTCTCTGCTCTGCTAAACCTGGAGTAAATTTTATGGACCAATAAAGGACTAAAAAACTAATTTTTTAGCTCACTTCCTTTATGGCAAATAGATCAAGAATAAATGCCATGCTGCAAGATAAAAGCAGTGCTTTCTGTTTTACTAGTTTTGGGTTGGTGATGTGCTGTTTCTTTACATCTTGGGACCTGATGGTAGAGGCTTTCTAGTCAGCTGGTGATGTGCAGAGGGGCAGCGCTCTGAGCTGTAAGCAGGCTTATACTCAGAGTGAAAGGCAAAAACTCACACAGACAGCTTGTGCTTTCATCTTTCAAGGACACTACTCGATCCTTCCTGGAGAGAGGGGGATGCACTGGTGGGTTACTCACATCCACCTTGTTCAAACTGCGAGGTGTTTTCCCGAGGTGCAATTCAGAGTGCACTAAGTTAAGAGCTGAAGCTCCCCACGCAGCCATCAAGGAAAGATATTTATACACTTTTTCTTTGTGCCCTTTTCCAGCATTCTTTTCTGAGATCTTTCTGAGCTCTCTCCATAATGTGAATGCTCGTATTTGCTGCTTGTACTTTAAAGTCCATGTGAGCTGCTATGGAGTCAGCATTTCTCTACTCACTGCTTTCAGCCCATGGCACACTTTAGGGCTGACATTTACACAATCTCCATTACTGCCCTGATTTTCTCCAATAATATGACCATACGTAGCTTCAGAGAATCAACATACAACTCCCATAATATAGTCCTTTTACACATATTAAACAGGGCTTATATTTGTCCTCACCCCAGACCAGGTATAGACTCCAGAAGTCAGTAAAATCAATGAAAAGTCTGCTGTTCTGCATCCCTGGGATGTAGAATAATGGTCTATCTGCAAAATAACTATAAATGATGTAGCTCAGTTTGATCTGAACGCATGCTGGCCAACAGTCCTGCTTTGAGGAGGAAGGATGTTGGACTTGGTGACCTCCAGAGGGTCTTTCCACCCCAAAACACATGGTCTTTGGAACCACATGTCAGCATGCTATTAAAGTGGATGCAGTTCTTTTCCACCATAGGGCTTGTTAACTAATTTAAAGATACATTTTCCATCTAAATTCTGCAAGCGCGTGCAAGGGCCATTAGTATCTTAGTGAAAATACAAGGAACATTTAATAGAGTAATTTAACTGCAACTGGTGAAGTTCGCACAGATTTGTGCCATAGCTACTGACAGCATAGGCTGGTTCAAAACATCTGGTTCTCCTGAACACTGAAAGCACAGGTAACACATAAGGACAGTGAAACTGAGCCTTTTTCTGAGATTGCAAGTTTCAGTTTGGATTTTCTGATGGTCAAGAGCAGAACCAAGATCCAGTTATTTTTCTTATTATGCTGTAGATTTCTTGTGTGACCTTCCTCATTTCGTAGAAACACAATTTACAGCTCTTTAGATTGGTAGGAGGCTAAATAAAGACACTGAGCTATCAGAAAGCAAGTATAAATTTCAGGGGCCTGGATATGATTAAAAATAAAATAGTAGTAATAACTGTTATAAAAAATGTGTGTAGCTCTATTCCTGGAACAAATCTTCAAAACCTTCCTTTTGCCTGCAATAAAATCTCACCAGGTTTCATCTGCAAGCTTGTTTGGGACTTAAGAACCTAGTCTGTTGAACCTGTAGCTCTCTTCAAAGGATGTCAGTCTTTTTCTCCAGAAAGCAGTCTGTTTTACTGGGCTGTTTGTAGCTCAGGATTGCTATGGGGCAGGTGACTTATAAATGACTGGGAAATGAGTTGGTGCTGGGGAAAGGTGGGGACTGCCTTGGCACCTCTCAGGCAGCAGCAGAGCCACCCTGTTAACATTGAGCTCCAGCTGTGAAGAGGGATGACCTGTCTGAGCCAGGGCTGCTGGTGCTGCAAGAAAACTGTCAGATGAGGTGTGAGATGCCATTCACTGCTAAGCAAAGCACTGAGGAAACACTCATTTTTGAAGTGTAATAGATATAACCTTTTTCTTCTTGGAGATCAACATCAAAAAGATCCCACTGCTGCCTTGCATGGACACCTGCAGTGATCCAGGCCAAAGTGTTGCCTTGTGGAAGATGCTGGTGTCTATCAAGCACTCCTTTCTCCAGTGTGGCTGTCCCACCATGGGACGGACTGGCATCACTGCTTCCTAACACTTTAAGGATGAATAAACTGCACTGATGACAGTAACTTTATTGCTATGATTGCCCCACTCACATAAAGTGAAGCAAGAAAGCAAGGAAAAGACAGTGTTGGTCAATAATAAGAGAAAATTTCTGTTACAGTTCCTTCTCTATTGAAGTGGAGTTGAAAGCTCTTATTGTCTCCCAGAGGAGACTTTGGCAGAGCAGTATGGTGGTTTGGTTTATATTCACATTTCCCTCTCAGGAGCCTGCCCTCCACAGCTACTTTGTGAGCCAAGGCAATTTAACCTGGGAACCAGTGGTTTCTGTTGCCCTTGTTCAAAATCTGAAGAAAACCAAAGGGAAACCCAAGCTGTTGTCTTCTTGGTCACCCTTGACTGTGGGATTCCTCTGTTGTTTCTCAGGTCTAGTGGATGGACAAGGAGAAGATCTGTAATCAATCCTCTTTGTGAAAACATTATTTTTTGGCTTTTTCGACCAGGAAGGACTATCAAGCATAAATGTTCTTTTTGCTTTTCTTCTAGCAGTGATTTAAGGTTTCATCTCTCCTCTACAACAATAAAAAACATGTATATTATGAGTCAAGGCTCTGATGCTCAGCAGAGAATATTATCATAGTTTGATGTCTTCTTCATCATATTGGGAGTGTAGAAGGTGCAGACCAGTAACACTTGTAGCTACTTTAGTCCCTTGGCTGTGGCCAGCAGCAGAGTAGGCAGAAAGAGGTCCATGGAGCTCTGTGGTGGAAAAAACTCATAACTACAAGCAGCCCCTTTCTCCTTATCAGGGATGGCTTCACATCTTGAGGCATAAGGAGGAGTTACTTCTCAAAACTTACAAAACTTGTGCAGTATGACTACACTGGCTGACATTACACTGAGTGGAGGTGACTCCTTGCCTTGGGCAAACTCAAGGAAGGTCCAGGTTAACTCACCACTATACTTCACTTTGATTTCTATGAATTGTCTCTAACTCATCTGGCTCTTTGACCTCTGTGGTCCTGAACTGCTGTAACTCTGTGCAGCCCTTCTAATTCTGAAGGCATTGCACCAGCTCTGAAGGTCTGGCCAGTTGCACTGCTAAGAAATGTCCATCTTGCCTGCCTTTTTGTTACTGAAGGTGTGCCTGGCTGAAGGGGCTGAGGTGAATGGGCACTTCTTGAAGCAAAGAGGGAGTGGGACAGGGAGAGGTTGGGGTGGTCAGGAGGGAAGAAGTATCCCTTTCACAGGAGTGAGATGACAGGCTGGCTCAGGCACCTCATATGGCTGTAGCCTGAATCCATCACTTCCCTGAGACCAGCGCTTGAATCTAAGCCCACATAAACCTTTTTTTTTTTTTTTTTTTTTTTTTTCTTTCTGTGATACTATCTTTCAGAGAGTTATGAACTTCTTAGTGGAAGAATATGCCGCATGTAAACTCCCTCAGTACAATTTTCATCCAAGTAATGGACGAGGGAAAGATCTAGTTTAGTTATGAGGCAATTTGACTTAATTATGGAGTAATTTATGTTTAACAATTGACTGTATTTTTCACTGTTGCTTTTTTAGGTCAGCTGCTTTTGGCTCTTAATTGCACTAGCTGAGGCTTTGCATATCACTCCCTTTCCATGTGTCTCAGGGAAAGATTATTTTCTAAAAACAGACGTTTAAAGAAAATAGGGAACAGAGCAGAGGACATTCGAGTCCAAACATGATTATGTACTCTAATAAAAAGCTCATTTGGACATGACATAAACCAAAAGGCAATAAAATGAGCAGTGGACAGGATGAACACCTGTTCTATGTTTTGATTATCTTAGATGCACAATGCAATATTTTTAATAGTGGTGTCTTGCTAGAAGGACTGACCCTTGAAATGGCTGCAGTGACTGGAAGATCCCTTCCCATGAAGGATGCCTCCTTGCAGCTCTGCAATGCCAAATCCATGGTGCCCCAACTCCCTGCCCTCACAGGTGTTTCTTTAAAGCCAATTTCTGAATTAATCCATGAGGCTCTCTGGCTGGAAACTCAATCCTTTTAGCTGGGGAGAAAACTGTGATCTGAAAATTTCCACCAACATTTTTCCTTATCCCTCCCTCCTGCTGCCTCAGCTGAAGTGGTAACTGGGCCAGAAAGCTCTGGAAGCCAAGCAGAGAGGTTTCTAATAGAAAAAAAGCAGACAAGGATGAGGTTTCTTGATCTTTTCCCCAATTGCTGTGGATAGTCAGAAACATAAACCCTCTTAGCATAGTTCAATTTTCTCTTAAATTCTATGGGATTCTATGGCTGCCTAGGACTAATTTGCCTCTAATCAATTCATAGTGGTTTTTTATGGCCCAG